ATGAAATGGAGACGAGAGTTTGTGAGGAAGTCTGAAGATGTGAGATAGTAATCTCAGGGTGGTAAGTGAATTGATTAATCACATGTATATGATAAGAGAGATAATTATGATTCAACAGGATTGAGAAGTTTTAGGTAAGCAGTAGAAGGAAGTAAGTGCAGAGTTGATTATAATGACAGATCTTAGATTCTATTGCTTTGTTAGGGTGGAAAGTAAGCAGGATAGGTAGATATTGAGAAATATTTAAGTTCATGTATTAAAACACTTGAGACTGAAGAGTTGTCACAGGGTAATTCTAAAAAGTATTAGAAGTGGAGCTAGCTTCATGCTGTCCCCCGAATGCCATTATTCAGCCACTGTTCCCCTAATCGTAACCAGGGCTGCTGCACCAGGAACATCTAGGTTAGATCCTATCCCCCAACCCCCTGCCCGCCAGGTACCGGGGGCATGTCATCTTCCCTTAGCTGCCTGCTGTCTGCTGAGCTTCATTGTCTGGGCACTGCTCCACCAGATGTCAGCAGACCCACTACAACAGGAACATCCTGCTTCCATCCTCCCCCTCCACAATCCATTCTCCTGTTCCCCTGGGGCATACCCAGCTGCTCTGAGATGTGCACTACTTCCCTGAGTTTTATTGTCCAGCCTAGGCCTGCTGTACCAGTTGTGTCCAGTGTTAGGTCCACATTCCTGACACCTGGAACATCCAGGAACAACCAGATGGCTTAAAGGCCAACATAAGAACATAATCAATAGGCAACAGAGTCCACGTCAGAGATAGACCCTACTACCCTTATTAGGGAGTCCACATGAGTCCTGAGCTGCCCATCTGCTACCTTTGTGTAGGGAACCTAAGTCCAGTCCATGCATGGTCCTTGGTTGGTGCTTCAGTCTCCACAAGCCCTTCTGGGCCCTGGTTAGTTGGCTATGTTGCTCTTCTTGTAGATCTCTTAGCACCTCCAGGTCCTTCGATCCTTCCTCCCACTTTTCCCCAAGACTCCCTACACTTGGCCCAATGTTTGGCTGTGAGTTTCGGCATGTGTTTCCATCCACTTCTTTTGGAGGAGAGCTATGGTAGGCTCTTGTCTGTGAGCATAGAAGAATATCATTAATAGTGTGTTAGAGGTTGATCACTTCTCCCGGGTGGGGGCTGCCTCACCAGACCACAAGAGAAGAGGACAAGCTTAGACCTGATGCATCTTGATGAGCTGAGGTAGAAGGGTGGATGGGGCTCCCCTTTCTGAGGAACTGGGGAGAGAGGAGGGGAGTGGAGGGAAGAAGGGTGGGGTGAGAAGGATAGAAGGAAGGGAGCTACAATGGGGATGTAAAGTGGATAAATAAATTAATTTTATTAAAAAAGAACACAATTAACAAAATCCAGGGCAATATGGCACCTTCAGCGCACATCTATCCCACCACAGCAAGTCCTAGATATCCTAATACAATGGAATCACAAGAAAATGACATTAAATCAAATCTTATAAAAAATGATAGAGGCCTTTGAAGAGGAAACAAATAAATCCCTTAAAGAAATACAGGAAAATACCATCACACAGAGAGTAGGAGGCCTTTAAAGAGAAAATGAACAAGTCCCTTAAAGAAATAGAGTAAAACACAATTAAACAGGTGAAGAAAATGAATAAAACTGTTCAAGACCTAAAAATGGAAGTAGAAGCAATAAAGAAAACACAAACTGAGGGAACCTTGGAGATGGAAAACTTAGGGAATTGAACAGGAACAATAGACACAAGATTTTAAAACATGGAAGGCATAGAAGATACAATAGAAGAAATTGATACACTACACAAAGAAAAACCTTAAATCCAAAATATTCTCAATACAAAACATCCAGGAAATCTGGGACACTATGAAAAGACCTAACCTAAGAATAATAGGAATAGAAAAAGGTGAAGAGTCCCAGATCCAAGGACCAAAAATTATTTTCAACAAAATCATAGAAGAAAACTTTCTCAACCTAAAAAGAGGGATATCTATAAACATACAAGAAGCATACAGAATACCTGTTAGACTGGACCAGAAGAATAATCCTTCAGCCACATAATAATCAAAACACCAAATCTACAGAACAAAGAAAGAATATTAAAAGTTGCAAGGGAAAAGGGCCAAGTAAAATATAAAGGCAGACCTATCAAAAGACAAAACCAAATTTAAACACTATCCACAAATCCAGCCCTTCAGAAAATACTAGAAGGAAAACTCCAACCCAATGAGGTTAACTACACCCAAGAAAACAAAGGAAATAAATAATTCTACACCATCAAAAACAAAAGAGAAACACACACACACACACACACACACACACACACACACCATAAAAATAACAGGAACTAACAATCATTGGTTATTAATGTCTCTCAACATCAATGGATTCAATTCCCCAATAAAAAGATATGGGCCAACAGAATGCTGAGGTCCTGGGATGGGTTGTTGGTATACTCGTCTTCTGATAGATATGAGAACGAAAAATAATTCATGAACATAATGGCATCAATAAGCTACCTTTAAATGATGACTTGAACATAATATTCTGAAATAGTCCACCTAATCTACAGTATAAAATGATAGGCTCTCTTCCACCACTATACTGTCCATTATGAAGAGGTGCTTAGCATTAAAACTGCTAATGCTAGAAAAGTGCTAAACTTAAAGTCTTTAATAAGTGGATGCATAGTTGGATTGAGTAGGCACCTTGGGATTTTCTAGCTGTGACTTTTCGATGGTTCAGTTGTAAAGGCAGCTGCTGCAGCCTTCTGGTCTGAGTCTGCTGAGGTAGATCACCAGGACCCGCATAGGAGGAGAGCACCAGCTCCTACAAGTTGTGTTTTGACCTGCATGTGCTGTGGCATGCAATACCAAGGCTTGGTTCTTACTTTTTAAAAAGTCTATACTTTTACACACAAATAAATGTGGGAGAGATTGCTATTTTAGTTTTCTGTGTGACAAAATGTGCTTGGCCTAAGGTTATTACTTGAATCAACAGTCTCATTTATAAAAAAAATAAATCTGTAATAAAAACTGACATAAATGTTTGCTTCTGTTATCATCTTGATAATCTTGAAAAATCTCAATTTTTACTTTAGAGTTATTTTTTGTAAGCTATGAAATGCTGGGTCTATGTCTAAAATGTAATACTTGTTGAATAAGTGATTTACATTGTATTTAAGATCCCATATTTAATTAGTGAAAGAAAAATAGCTCTCAAAAACTTTTATTTATTTAGTGATAGAAGAGTGGTGGGGAGAAAAAGAACAATATTTTTTGGTAAACGTTTTCATTTTTACCACTAGATTTTTTTTTGATTGTTTTTTTATTTGTAAGATTTTAATGTAAGCACATTATTCCATTTTCCCTTCCTCCAAGTTCTCCCTTATTCTTTTTCTTGGTCTCTCTTAAATTCATGTTTTTTTTTTTCATTAACTGTGACATGCAAATATGTTTACATGTACATATTTGGGAATGTACATACACATACATTCCTAAATGTAACCTGCTCAATCAGTATAATGTTATCTGCATGTGCCTTTTCAGGGCTGATGATTTGGTATTGAACATTTTCAAACGGGGCAATTTTAAACATGAGAAAGGATTTTTGTGTATCTAATCACATAGGCATCAAGTTTACCCAATTCCTCATGATACACAAGTTTCTAGTCAGGCAACACAGGGTCACAGCTTGAGTATTTGTGGTGTGTGTACAACAGGAATGTGTGGTGGTTAGAGGTTATTGTCAGGTTTCCTCAATTGATCTTCATTTTATCTTTTGAAACAGGGAGTTCATCAATTTGGCCAGACCCCAGATAGCCTTTGACTCCCCAGTGCTAGGATTACAGACCCAGATCAGCACTGTCTTACCTGTGCTGGAGAGTTGGAAACAAATAAATCCCTTAATTTATTTATTTGCACGGTAAGGACTTTAATGACTAAGCCATCTCCCCAGCCTCAGGATCACCAATATTTAATGGCTCAAAAAAAAGTGAAAATAGTCTCAAAGAAATATTGATTTTGTATATTTGATTTTACACTGTATTGTATTAAATTGTACACATCTAAGTGTTCCACAGTGAACAATGGCAATTTATATGGCACAAGATAAATTTATTAAACACCAAGTTTTAGAAATAAAGACAAGCTTTCCAGTCTTCCAGGGCTCCTTCTTCTTTTTTTTTTTTTTTTAAATAATTTAACTTCTATGTGCATTAGTGTAAAGGTGTCAGATCCCTTGGAATTGGCATTACAGACAGTTGTGGGCTGCCATGTGGGTGCTGGGAATTGAACCTAGGTCCTTCGGAAGAGCAGACAGTGCTCTTACCCACTGAGCCATCTCTCCAGCACCCCCCCTCCCCCAGTGTTCCCTCTTATCATCTCCAGCCTGTCAGGGTGTGGTGGGCAGTCTGAAATAACTGAATCTTGCGTTTCTCTTACACAGCAGTTTGCAAGTTGTGGTTTACTAACAGGTATTAACTGGTAGTTTTCTTTTGTCAATTATTCTAAAGGGCTAGTATGAGTAATTGCACATTTTCTAGAAATAAATAAATAGGTTATTAATGTTCTTCTTTTCATGCCTGCCTTAATGTTCGTAACAGAGAACTGCTTAAAACACAGGTTTCTAGGGCCTAACCCTAGAGAACTCGGATTTCTGACCAACTGTCAGCTTGTGCTTCTTGTGTACCATGGTGAACCTGTGAACTGGGTATAGAGCACTTGAACACAAAGGCCTTAATTTGTGATTCTCACTAAACACAACTCAGTTTATTAAGCATGAAATAAATTGCCCAAACCACTCTCCTGGCGAAGTTACTGTGTTAGCACTCATTAAGTCGGATCTGCCCTCATTTGGTTGCTGCGGCCTTCCATTTCTGGGCAACTAACTTGGAGGAATTTATTCACTGTCTTTTCTTTGCCACACTGCTGCAGTCTAGCCTGCCAAGAGAGCAAGGGTCGCCCCGCTGCTTCACTGTGGTTGTTATCTAAGGCAGGCGGCCCAGTGAAACAAACTCAGCAGGAGGTCTTGATAGGCAATTTGTGAGCCCCTATCTATATGCTCAAGCCTGACCCACTGCACTGGGCCAACGCTACCCAACGCCCAGTTGCCAGTGTTCCCCTCCAGCGAAAGGACAGTCTGTGTGAGCAGTGGGCGAGTTCGGACCCCCCCACCCTCGCGGCGAGCCCCGTGCCCGAGCCTTCGGTAGCTGCACCGCGGTAGCTCGGGGAAGAGTTCCGCCCGAGCCGGTCTCCACGGCAGCCGCCTTCCGAAGAGCTCGTGGCGGCAACTCGGCCACCCGGACCCCCGGCCGCGAAGATGTCCTCCAACGTCAGCTTGCTGCGCGAGACCTCCCGGCAGGTCGTTGCCGGAGCGTCTGCAGGTAAGGCGGCCAGCTCCCCGCGCTCGCGGCTCCTCCGCCGCGCCACCCGCAACGTCCCTAACACTCAGGCAGCAAACGGGCAAGCAGCCGGGGGGCGGCCGTGTCCTCTGTTTGGGGCAGTCCCCACCAGCCGCTCTGCTTGCAGGTTCCTGGTTTTCTCTGTTCCTAGGCTGAGAAGCTTCAAAGGACTCCTCCAGTCCCTGAAACTTACTGTCCCTGAAACTGTGACTTTGAGAAAGCTTCACAACCCCCCTCCTTTTCCCCTTCCTTTTAACAGCTCCAGTTTAGTCGTAAGTTTCTTAGCAATTCTCTTCTGAGCGCCAAGCTAGAAAGGGTGATAAAATTTGCCTTTCTTCACAGGGATTCTTAAGGTATACTCTGCTTCTTGGGGATACATGCACGCCATAAGTAGATATATAAAAATTAAGCACACATGCTAACACATATAAACATCTTTGATGTAATGGACTCATTAATTTGTGGAGAGGTATGATGGGGGAGAGGCTTTACAAAAAAAATCTGTTAAAACCAGCCTTGGAAATAATTACTATCAAATGCAGCAGAGAATGTTGTTTGTCATTAAGTTATGCGTACATACTTTAGGGATGTTTTAAAGCAAGTTGGTTGAAAATTTATTTTCATATATCATGATGCATTTTAATTTAATTAGCTTAGGTTGTGAAAATTTTATAACTAGCTATTTTAATGAATTATATTATGGTAACAATGATAAATAATATTAAGATTGACTGAAAGATGTCCAAGATATACTTTGATTAGTAACATTTATTTATTTTCAAACAAATTTGAACTTTTAAATAATGGACTTCAAATTTTGCTTCAAATTTTTGACTAGCAATATATCATGAACTAGCTGCATTTCAGGGGTACCATAAGCATTTAGATATGTCACATAATCAGCATACTTTCTTAAGATGATATAATTATGAAAATGAGGCATTTGTTTCTTACATGTATATATATGCTTCATCACAACTCTGTGATCCTGAGCAAAGAACAGTCATCTAGACCAGAGAAAAATGAAGTTGTTTAACATCTCAAGTTATGCCCAGTGACTTTCAGGGATCTCTTTTGGTTTGTATAATAATATGTATTAGGCACAGTTAAACACAAAGACTGGTTAAAAGTAGATCATATTCTAGTCCTATTTATGCTGACTATCCTTGCATAAGTATTTGGCACAGATGTATTGATGCCATCATATATAGTTATGTTAGTTATTTTTATAATGTTGTATTTGTTTCTCAGTTTCTCTCTTAACCCTGCTATCACCCAAATAGTTGAAATTCTATTATATTATTTGCTTATCAAGCTTTACACTACAATCCTGAGCAGTTTTAACCTATTCTTAACCCTCTGAGTCAGTCTGACTTCTCTGAGTGTAAATCCCAGAGATACTTGCACTTTATGGCTTTCCGGCTCAGCTGAATTTTGCCTCATCTCTCCTTGACCTCTGCCCCATGGCTGAATGCCCTACTTTCTCCTCCAGTTCCTCCTCTTATGCAGGCCAGGAAGTTCAGCCCCATTCTCTCCCCTGATTGGCTATAAGCTGCTTTATTGGCATATCAGGGGACAATTAGGGAGCAGTGTTTGCACACCACTGAAACAGGATATTCTCAGAACAGGGATTGCAACCAGAGATGGGGTGGGTACAGAAATCAGCATTGGAATTACAGAATAATCTTATGCCTGAATCCTTATTAATGTAAATGGAAAATAATCAGCTAATATAAATAAATGTTAAGCTAAATTTAAAAGGCTGGTTGGTTTATACAGTTTATATTGTTGAATTCTTGATAGGTAAGAAGGATAATTAATACTTTCAGCATCCTAAAGTCATATTTTTTTTACTTGACATTTAAAACATATTCATAAAAATTTAAATTTATTGAAACTCTAGTAATGTAGGCTGATCCTATTACATGTTCTAGAGCAAGGGCCAGAAAAAAAAAGTATATACAAGAGAGGTAGAATTTTTATAAAAATAAGATACAGTTGAATCTCTGATTACTGATGCTAACATCTGTCTCTTTCTGAGTATTATAATGATCTTCTGACTTTTAAAGTCAAAAAATATCTTCTAAAAGAATGTTCTTTTAAGGAAAAAAGTAAAGAAATGGGAGTGGCTTATCAGAAAGATACAAGTGTCTCCTGGCATTCAAGGTTTTGGTATCATTCTATGGAGAAACTGGAGCACTGAGGATAATACAGGATGTCATGTTTCTTCATCTCGTCTATGTCAGGTGGTCTGTCATCTTCAAGGCTGGAGAATAATGACTAACACTAGTACCACTGTATCCCTACTGAGTGTTACTGTGGTTTACCATGCTTCCAAACACATTTACTGTTAGGTCTTATCTAGGGTACCAACTACACAGGGAGCTAAGATCACCAAGTGGGAATTGAATTCCGGTCCTTTGGAAGATCTGAACCAGTGGATTATTTCTCTAGCCCTTATCATCCTTTTGACAAGGAGAACAGACTAATGTGCCATGCCAACTGCCTCATATGGAGATGTATAAGGCTGGGAGAGTGCCAACCCGACAGACATATTTCCCTATGTGATCTTAAAACCTGGAAATGTTTTGTTTCTCACAGTTAACTGTTACTTTGAGTTTTTCATTCTATGTGCTAGAATTTGGTTTCCAATAGCTTCCAAGTATTCATGCTCTTGAATGATCTTCCTGGACAGTGAGACAGAGACAGAATTCTAGGAATAGATTCAGAATTGCCCAGTGTTGATAAGAACCCAACTCTATCGATTAGCTATAGCAAATCCCCATTGGATGGGTGGCATATGTGGCTTGGCGGAATCTCAGAGGAAAGATAGAAAAACTAGACATGCCACGAAAGGGTTAATATGTGTATTTACAATATACTACAAGAGGGTTTGTGATATTTGCACTTAAAAGACTAAAGGTGTCATTAGCAGTTTGTCAACTTGCATCTACAGCTTAGTTTAAGGCTCGTAGTTATAGTTATATCTTGTAGTATAGCTAGATTTTGCTACTAATGGTAACTTTGTCCTGTGTGATAAAGGTTGTGTTCAAGCTAGTCAATATGCACTGGATCTTTAAAATATAAATTTTAGAGCTGGGCAGTGGTGGTGCACATGCCTTTAATCATAAAACGTGGGAGGCACAGGCAGGTGGATTTCTGTGTTTGAGGGCAGCCTGGTCTAGAGTGAGTTCCAGAACAGCTAGGACGACACAAAGAAAACCTGTCTCAAACAAACAACAACAAACAAACAACAAAACAAAACAAAAACAACAAAAACCCAATAATCATTTAATAATTTTAGTTTTAGGGATTGTGTGTGTTTGTTTGTGTGTGTGTGTATGTGTGTGTGTGAGTGTGTATTCACACACACACAGGAGAAGGTGTTTGATTTTCCAGATCTGGAGTTACAGGCCCTACATGGGTGCTTAGACCCAAAGTCTGGTCCTTTTCAAGATATTCTGAACTTCATCCGTCCAGCCAGTGTAATACATTTGTATAGAATAATCTGTGCTCTTAGACTTTCTGTCCTACACACATGGCCATTATCCTCAGCCTCTCATAGGACTTTCCTAGCTAAACCTCAGAACCTTTGGGCTGTCAGGTCTATGAGACATACCAATAAAGTGGACTCCTACGTTGTATTCACACTGAATTCTCTTTCGTGGCACCAACTATAAGGTCTTCCTCCTACTTCCTAAGATCTTATTTCTTTCTCTCCAAGTATGTAACTTTAAAGGCTTCCTAGACTTATTTCCCTCCATGGGCCACAAACATAACCATTCTTCCAGAGTGCGCTGATTTGTATTTCGAACCTCCTCCAGTGGGCAGCCTACCCCCAGGGATCCTGGAGGCATACTCTAGCTTCACATCTTTATCAATTAATTTATTTTACTTTGCCCCTTTTCCACAAGTACATTGCTTTTATTGAAACTATTATTTAAACCAATGTTCTTAGCTTCAAATAATAGCACAATGTTTAGGTGTGTGAGTCCTAGAAGTCAATAATGAGAACTCAAGGTCCAACATTGGAAAATGGATAAAGATGAGGGTTAGAAATCATTTTTGTTACTCAAGAAATCTGATGGCAACTGGGTGTGGTGACAGTCACCTTTAATCCTAACACTTAAGAGGCAGAGGCAGGCAATTCTGTTGAGTTCAGCCCAGCTTGGTGTATATAATGAGACTCTATCGAGAAAACCAAACAAGAAATATAGTGGTACCTGGAAATTTGTTTAAAATGTTGGACTTTTGGCTTCCAAGTATGACTATGCCAGAATCTACATTATATGTAGGCTTCAGGTTATTGGCTTATATTTTTATTTTGAAAGTGTACTGTGTTAGATCTTTGAGCAAAAGTGCTTCACAGAGTGGGAGGGCTCAAGCTATATAGCAGAGAGTAGAGAATAAAATGTTTTTAGTTTCACTGTGGATCAGCGTGTGCATGCAGGTTGGAAGAGAGTGAATTCTGCAGCCCTCATACTGTTGCCCCTCTGTTAGCTTGAAGACATATTTTTTGCCTTTCTTCCATACATTTCATTTGGTTTCTGCTAACTGAGCTGCTTGTACTTCAATTTCAATGCCTGGAATATGTTCTGCTTTTTTCTCTCTGTTGAAATATTAACCATTTCCCAAAGTCTGGCTTGAGAACATCCCCCACCCTCCCACCCCTTAGATATTTTGAAGCGTTCTCTCTAGATTCTTCCAGCTTTAACATTCTCATTAACATGCGAATAATGCAAATATTAAACGAGCTAACACCCATTGAATGTTAAATGCCTATCAGTTCTAGGCTAATGCCTTGTCTTAGTTCCACTACTGTTACTATTCACTACTATAACTTGAACAAAAACCATTTGGAGAGGAAAGGTTTTCTTTGGCTTACTCTTCCTTATTGCTGTTCATTACTGAAGGAAGTCGGACAGAAACTTAAACATGGCAGGAACTTGGAGGCAGGAGCTGATGCAGAGGCCATGAGGAGT